AAGCATCAGGGAAGAGAGAGGTGAAGGTTTATAAACTAAAAGAGGAGGCAGTTAGGGTAAGATATAAACAGCTATTGGAGGATAGAGGGCTAAGGGAGAGCATAGGCAATGGGGGTCGAAGAGGTATGGGGTGGGTTTTTAAAAATGTAGTGTTAGAGTGTTCAGCAGAATTTTGTGGTTACAGGAAAGGGGGTGCAGGAGGGAAGGGGGAGCGATTGGGGAATGATGATGTAAAGAGAGTAGTAAGGGAGGGAAAAAATTTTAGCAAAATGAGAAGTTTTTAAAAAGTAGAAGTGATGCAAGGGGGGAAAGAGTATATGGAGAAAAAGAGAGAAGTTAAGAGAGTGGTGAAGCAATGTAAAAAAGAGCAATGAGAGAGTGGGTGAGATTTTTATCAACAAATTTTGTTGAAAATAAGAAAAAGTTTTGAGTGAGATTAACAAGTTAAGAAAGCCTAGAGAACAAATGGATTTGTCAGTTAAAAATAGGAAAAGGAGAGTTAATTAAATGGAGAGGTAGAGGTATTGGGAAGATGGAAGGAATATTTTGAGGAATTGTTAAATGTTGATGAAGATAGGGAAGCTGTGATTTTGTGTTTAGGGCAAGGAGGAATTTAAAATCTTGTAGGAGTGAGGAAGAGCCCGTTGTAGTGTGGGGGAAGTTCGTGAGGCAGTAGGTAAAATGAAAAGGGGGTAAGGCAGCCGGGGTTGATGGGATAAAGATTTGAAATGTTAAAAGCGGTGGGGATATAGTTTTGGAGTGGTTGGTGCAATTATTTAATAAATGTATGGAAGAGGGTAAGGTACCTAGGGATTGGCAGAGAGCATGCATAGTTCCTTTGTATAAAGGGAAAGGGGATAAAAGAGAGTGCAAAAATTATAGGGGGATAAGTCTGTTGAGTGTACCTGGTAAAGTGTATGGTAAAAGTTATAATTGAAAGAATTAAGAGTAAGACGGGAATAGGATAGCAGATGAACAAGGAGGCTTTAGGAAAGTAAGGGGGGTGTGTGGACCAGTGTTTTTACAGTGGGAAAAATATAAGTGAACAGTATTTAGATAAGGCTAAAGAGGTCTTTGTGGCATTTATGGATTTGGAAAAGGCGTTATGACAAGGGTGGATTTGGGGGGCAATGTGGGAGATGTTGCAAGTGTATGGTGTAGGGAGGTAGGTTACTGAAAGCAGTGAAGAGTTTTTTACGAGGATAGTGAGGCTCAAGTTTGAGTATGTAGGGAAAAAGGGGGGAAATTTTTTTCCCAGTAAAAGTAGGCCTTAAAAAGGAGTTGGGGGTACGTGGTTTTTTAATAATTTTTGATGGGGTTTTAAGGAAAATAAAAGCAGGGTCTTGGGAAAAGGCGTGGGGTTAAAAATAAAGAATCACACACAAATGGGAGTTGTCACAGTGCTCTTTGCCGATGACACTGTGCTTTTGGGGAAATTTCTGAAGAGAATTTGCGAGATTGGGGGATGATTTGGTGGGGTGTGCAAAAGAAAAAAAATTTAAAAAGGTGAATACAGAAAAGATAAGGGTTTATGAGGTAAAAAAAAAGTTAGGTGATGAAGTTTAATATCAGATTGGAGGGAGAGGATGGAGGAGGTGAACGTATTCAGATATTTGGGAGGGGACGTGTCGGGGATGGGTCTAAAAAATAGGTGAATCATGAATTTGAGGGGGAAAAAAGTGGGGGGTGTTAGAGTCTGGGAGACAAAAACTTTGCCCTTGGGGGCAAAGAGGGGAATGTATAGGTATATTTTTACCAACCTTTAATGGGGTGAAGCGTGGGTGATGAATGTTGCAGCGGGGGGGAAGGGGAGGCAGGGGAGAGTCATGTCTGAGGGCAATGTGGGGTGTAAAAAAAGCAAGAATTCGTATTTGGAAGTTAGGGGGAGGTGCGGGATTCCCAAAAAAATGTGCCCAGAGGGTGGGGAAAGGGTTTTGTTGAGGGGTTTCGGACATGAGAGAGAGGGGAGCGAAACGAATCTTCAAGAGTGTATCATCTGTGTGGAAGGAAGGGGGGGTGGGGGTCGGCCTGGGAAAGGGGTTTGGAGGGAGGGGGTAAAGGAGGTTTGTTGCGAGGGCTTGGATTTCCCAGCAGGCAGCGTGAGCGTGTTTGATAGGAGTGAATGGAGACAAATGGTTTTTAAAATACTTGACGTCTTTTGGAGTGTGAGCAAAGTAACATTTATGAAGGGATTCGGGGAAACCGGCGGCGGACTTGAGTCCGGGAGAGGGGAAAGTACAGTCCCTCATCTAAGGAGGGGTTTTAAAATGTTGCAGTTTAAAAACTGTTGTAAAGCCCCCTTTGGCAAGACAGGAGGAGTGAATGGGGTGAAAGTTTTCTTTTTCGGGCCCCCCCTCCCTTGGGGGGAATCGGCCGGTGTGTAATAAAAAAAAAAAAAATATATATATTATATTATATAATATATATATATATATAAATTTTTTAAAATATTTTTGTATATATTTTTTTGTAACCAAAAAAGGGTTTTATTTAAATAAATAACAACACAGCGACTACCCAAATTCAAACCCGCGTTGCTTTAGCCCCCTCATGGTGAGCGATAATTCCACGACACTCTAACCCACGGAACCATGTAACCCTACAAAATCACGCACCCAGCAGAGCTAGATGTTGTCCCGTGATCGAGGACATCGTGGGTGGGTGCTTCAAACTAATTTCATCCCCCTCCCTTTTTACTGCTCCATGGGAATATTTCGCTCACCATGAGGCGGGCTAAAAAACAACACGGGTTCGAATCCTCGGCTAGTCGCAGTGTTGTTTTTGTTTAAAAAACCACCTGTTCGTGGTTACAATACTATATTCTGCTCGGGGGAGGCATTTACACAAAACGGGGAGGAGGAAAAATTTACTTGAAGCACCCACACCATCAATGTCCTTGGTCACAGTAAACACCTAGCTCTTTTGGGATGCGTGTTTTTTGTGGGTTTGTAGGCCCCCTTGGGTTAGGTGCCGGGGAAATTTTTTCGCTCACCAGAGAGGGGTTTAAAAATAAACAGGTTCGAATCCTCGCTATCGCGTGTTTTTATTGATATGTTGTGTGTGGTGTGTGTGTGTTGTGTACTCCCCAAATTCACCTAATTGTGGTTGCAGGGGCGAGACTCAGCTTCTGGCCCCGCCTTTCACTGATCGCTACTAGGTCCTCTCTCTCCTTCCTGAGTTTTGCTACCTCTTTTTAAAAGCATGTTTTTCCCTGCCTCCATACATCACTTGCTGGCTGTTCCACTCCTGACGACTTAATGATAAAAGAAATCTTCCAAACCCCCTGTGACTCGTCGGGTCTTCAGTTTCCCAAATTTGTGACCCCTTGTTTCTGTGTCCCCTCTCTGGAACACCCTGCTTTTTCCCCCTTCTATTCCAAGCAGTATTTGTATGTCGTTTTCCCCAACCTTTCTTTGTAGGAATTACGCAGGCTCCGGAAAAAGCCTTGTTTTCAAAACTTTTACTTTATGTATGTGTGGGTGTGTTTTTAGTTGCCGTTGTAAAAGCACTTTCCGTTTTCCAAAACACAAACAAAAACCCGCACAAAAGTATAAACCCACAGCGTCAACATGCCCGAATCTCAGCGCATACTGCCCTACATCACCAGCTGCGTCAACAGCACTAGCGGCACCAACGCAGCAGTAGCATCACATCCAACGGGAAAATGGGGGGGGGGGGTCAACGTACTACCCTCACAGAAGAGGGCGTTATTGGGGGAAAAAGGGGGAAGATGGCTGGTGAGTCCATAAAAAATGTTCACCTCACCTATTGTACATTTTCCCCTGTTATTTGCATTTAGGATTTCCCAGTTTTTTAAAAATTGTATATTTATTGGAGAGTAGTGAACGGTTACTAAGGTAAGGGGGTTGTTTTAATCAGGTTTTGGGACGAGAAAGGGGGGGGGTACCTCCCAAATTTCTTGGGTCGAGAAAATCTTCTTTAGAGTTAAAGCATCATGGTGATCGAACCCGGGTCCCGCCGGGTCTGAAAGCAGTTTACGCCCTTGTTTAAACAATGTTACCAGGGGATCTAGGTACTTGGGGAAACCATGTAAAGGGGTGGAGACTGACCGGGTGTAAACTCGACGCTTTTTTTGCTTCCTGTCAGCAAATGCTGATGATGCAACTCCTCCATTTACCCCTAACCAAATTCTCTGTCTTTTTAAAAAATTTAAGAGAACTTCATTCAAAAAAATTTTTCTTTTTAAAACGTAGCCAAGCTGTTGTTTCTTTTTTTTTTTTTTTTTTTGGACACATTTTAAAAAAGGCGAGAAAAAAAATTTTCGTAAAAAAGTATTTACTAAGATCTCGATAAAAAAATCTTGGCGCACCACACACACACACACACACACAACCCCACACACACAAATATATTATATATTATATATAAAATATGAATATTCCCTTGCCCTTTTCCCGGGTTTTCCGGTATACCCCCCCTTTTTTCATTCTTTTTTCCATATATTGTACCGTTATGCTCAATTTATATTATTAAAAAAAACCTTTTAGGTGGAGATGATGCTACGTACTGGAACAGTCAGACGGGGGACAATGGGTTTAGGTGATTGAAGGTTTACCATTCTTTTTTAAAGGTACTAGAGTTGTCGTGATTTTAAAGCAGAATTTGTGAGCTTAGCTTATACACTTTCATCTTTGTTTAACAAGCTCTTTTTGCAATTGATTTTTGCGTATCTGAAAGAAAATCAGCCTGAAAACTAAATTTATATTCTTCATATTAAAATTTCTAACTTAATTTGGCTGACGTAAGATCGAGAAACCATGCCCATTTTTTTTTTAAAAACCGTTCAGCATTTTTTTAAATTTACTCAGCCTACAGAGTATTAATGAAATAGTTGGGGGGCATGGTGTAAATGTATACTGTGCGCGTTCGGTGCGAGTGTGTAAAATTAAAACAAAATTACAAAATTTATACAGCAAAATCCTGCTCATAAAGTGGAGCTAATTTTCCCTATTTCGTGAATGTCACCAGTGGGAGCGACACCCGGGCGAGGTTTAGGGAAGAATGGAACGTGAGTAGCAATTTTGGGACTCTATGGGGTAGAGAGGCACTTTACTTGTAGTCACAACACTCTTACGAGATAAGACTTCACCGTGGAAATGGCACTTGTGAGATGGGGGCATTACTTAGTTGAAAATGGGATCTGACCCTTAGAACATCTCACTTGTCACTCTCGTTGCGTTTCTCTCCACAACACTGCCTATATACTCTTGTTCTTAATGGGGCAGGAATCTGAAAGATTGTTTTAATAGTGCAGGATGTCTGAAATATTGTTTTATTAGTGCAAGATATCTGAAAGATTGTTTTAATAGAGCAAGATGATCTGAAACATTGCATTAATGGTATAGGATGATCTGAAACATTGCTTTAATGGTGCAGGATGATCTGAAACATTTAGTGGTGAAGGATGGTCTGGTACATTTAGAGGTGCAGGATGGTCTGAAACATGGTCTTAATGGTCTTAATGATATGAAACATTGTCTTAATGGTGCAGGATAGCCTAAAATATTGTCTTCAGTTTCCTCTACGTATTGTGGGTTAACTGTGAAATGTTGCAGTCACAGAATTTTAACTTTTACTTATATTTTCTCTTTAAAATAATGCTGAATCTCATATAATCTTTTGAATCCTCTTTATTTTAACCTAAAATATGTACAATAGAATAATGTCTTTCTTAAACATTTCCTTTAACTTTACATATTTAATAAAATTGGAATTATTATTATTATTATTATTATTATTATTATTATTATTATATTATTATTATTAATGAGGAAGTTCAAAAGCAGTAGGGGTCATGCAGCGCTTAGGGGAATTAGAGACAATCAGGTTCGATCCAAGGAAGGGAAGGATAGCTTCAATTCTATAGAGCTAGAGCCCTTCACTAGCATCTACTCAGCCACTGCTTCCCTTGAGGATTTTAAAGATTACCATCTACTTGAAATTAACCACCTTTACAGTCACTCAACCATAGGTCGATTGCTGACAATATGAACAGCTTTTCAGATATTCCTTTGTGTTCCAGTGGCAGGTTAGGCTTTGGGTGCCTTTTGATGTAGTACTAAGTAATTCCACCTTCCGTGTCACTGGTTCACTTATAGTCTGGAGTGTTAACTCAGTGCATTTTCAAGATTATGTTTCCTTCCGGCCAGGAATTTCATCCAGGGACTTCGGTGATGAGAGCCGTGACTCTCACCACTGAACTATGGCAGTCGATGTGTTTCATCACTATAGATCGAATACCACTGGATACTACTCCATCCTCCCCACGTTCACTGCTCCTGGGAAGCACTAACTTATCCCACCATAGGTTCACTGCTCCTGGGAAGCACTAACTTATCCCACCATAGGTTCACTGCTCCTGGGAAGCACTAACATCTCTCCACTTCTCCCAACCTGTGGAGCTTGCTAATTCACTCCATCTTCACAGGTCAGGCATCGCTTGAGCGTCCAAGCAGCTTGGTTGAGAAGGAGGATGTGGACACCTCCGATAACAGCTCCATCCTGAAATCCATCACCTTCGAGAGTGAGAGCAACACTTTTCCCAAGATCGGGAAACCCCGCACATCGTCCACTTCGTCGAGGAGGTCGTTATCTCCCTCTCCTCCTTCCCCAGTCAAGAAACCCGTCCCCAGACGCGGAAGCAGATCTATTGGACTTACGGTTAGTCAAGCTAATAATAATACTAATAATCTTCATTTCTACAAGTACATGTACAAGGTATACAGACCTAGTAGACATCAATGACATAATATATAAAAAGCCCCTTGTTATGCAGAGCATTTCGGGCAAATTAGGTCAGTTTCGTCCCCAGGATGCGACCCACACAAGTCGACTAATACCCAGGTACCTATTTTACTGATAGGTGAACATAGACAGCAGGTGTCCTAAGGAAACACGTCCTAATGTTTCCACCCTTACTGGGATCGAACCACGGACCTCAGTGTGTGAGCTGAGTGCACTAACAATCTATAGCTTCGGTCGTTGCTCCTTTCTAAGGAACGGGCCTTGGTGCAGGTGTAGAGTTTTTGATCAATAAAGCTTGAGATAAAAGTTGATTACCTTCCATTCCATAAACGTTGTACTGCCCCTTTGCTTTTAGCGCTTTCCCATTAATGTAATGATAAGATTAGTATTGCATTGTACTTCATGAAACACTAAGTCTGAGTGGGTTATTCAGAGTAAGAGAAGATGGAGACTCGATCCTCCGTCTCGATTGCATCGAATAGTATTAAAATAAAATTCACAATGAACCTACAAATCAGAAATAATAAACGATATTTAGTTCCGTCTGACCATTATCGAGTCGCGACTTGATAAAGTTATTCGGGTTTCATTTATAATTCATTAATTAGTAGCACTACGACTTTTTTCTGCTGAATAATTACATTCCTAAGTCAATGACTAAAGGCTTAAAGTTGTAAATTAATAAGTGCTTCGATCAAATGATATGATTCATGTTACATTAAGTTCAGCTTTCTTTATTCAACCTCTCAAGACTTCTGTGTATCTTGTAAGACTTCTCTTATATTCTGAAGTGTGTAGATAAATGGTTCAAAGAACCGACAAGTTGATAAATTAGACACATGTGCAACATTTGGGTATCATTATTGTGGAAACGTTTACCTACACTGTGGCTTCATCAGTCCAGTACGAAGAAGAATGGTGAAGATCAAAAGGAGTTTGGCGTTATCAGTCTGTCAGAGTGGAGCCGCTGTAATTATTCCATCAATCTTGAAAAGACTGATGGACCGAAAACAGTTTTGTTTTGCCTCTTCCAGTCCTCTTAGCCCAGGGACTGCTTTCCAGGATAGCTCTGGGCTTTTTCCACTTTAAATGGGTGTTTTTCAATGAAGTATAGTTACCATCATCTTCCTTAGATTGAACCTGGTTGCTTCCCACTTTCCAGGCACTCACTCCTAATGGTTTAACTCTTCCTCATAAATACATAGAATATGAAAGTATTCCTGCTTCTGAACCCACGTGATTTGTGAAGGGCCTGTCCAGTATGGGCCAACAGGCTTGTTTCAGTGTTCCTCCTTTATGTTATGTTCTTAAGTGTGCTTAATGTCTCTTGACTGAGAGCCTCATTTCCTTCACTTGTTTATGTATCTACCCCTGTGCAGAGACACCACCCACTGCTACCTAACAAAATCCAACCCTTAATATTAAAGTATCCTCTTGTATTAGTGATTCGCGCTTGGCCATATCCTATTATTCTGCGGTGTTCTTCACAGCAGAATAATAGGATATGGCCAGGGACTGATGGCTGGGGGAGTGATTATCTCATCTTTTGTACATAAGTCTACAGTCTTCACATTATGTCCTTGTAATGTATTGATAAAGCCACTGGTTGGCAAAGCGTCTACAAATAAAAATATCCAGATGTTGCATATGTGTATAATTCTTCACAAATATTCCGTTTCGGTCCGACTGAAACGTCGTCATAAGCTTCTTTCTATGTGAGGGTTATCTGTGTATTGTTCCAGTCACAGTATTGAATCTTTTTGTTCTTTATGGCTAATATTCCTCCATTCCCCAATGGTCGCAGCTGAACCTCTCTGACAAGTTCGTCACAGAACTGACGCTACACGACCCTTGTGTCGGGGCGGTGAAGGGTACTGCCATTTCCCTGGGTGTCTTCTTGGCTACAGACCAGGTGATGGGTGACCACTTCATCTACAAGGTGTCTCCAGTTTCCCCACTTGCCGTTCTCAAGTTTAAGTAAGTAGTAGATGAGTGTGGATGAGCAGGGTAGGACAAGAGGTGGGTAAGAGTGTTTTTTTTTTTTTTTTTTTTAGGAAAGGAAGGTAGGTATAATATATATAATTTCGAAACGTTTCGCCTACCCAGTAGGCTTCTTCAGTCGAGTACCGAAAAGTTTGTAGAAGCAGTAGAAATGTGAAGACGATGTAATCAGTCCATCATCCTTGAAGACGTAGTTTTGAGGTGGTCAGTCCCTCAGCTTGGAGAAGAACATTTTTTCCATAGTCTGAAACAATGTGAAATTGAAGTGACAATATAGGCAAGAAAATTACCTACTTTTCTTTCTTAGTATTTAATTACAACCCTTGTCCAACTGTACCTTGGCCTAATTTTGATTCTTAATTATTTTTCAAAACAATGTAATTCTACCAATATTAACACAATTCCTAAATTATTTTTTTTATCTGACAGGCCTCAGGACAGACTACTGAAGATCAATGATATCAGCCTGGCTGGCTGGTCCCATAACTGCTTGCTTGACTATGTGAGGAACCTGCCTTTCACTTGCGTCCCTGCTCACCTCACCTCCGATGCTGTGATCGACATACAAATCGTAATGGTGAGAAAGGATAAAAATCGCACTATCGTGGCTGGAACAATTCACAACTTACAGACAATGGGTAACTGGGTAACAAGCCAACAGGTGGGCATAAGGACACGATATGCGGAACAAGCCATTACAAAGCCTTGAAAATTTTAGTATTTGGCGAAACATTGTCTTAAATAATGCTCTTCTGACACATGTGCAACATATGGTTATCTTTATTGTAGACGTCTTGCCATCCAGTGGCTTTATCAAAACTGATTCTATTAATACATTAAAGAAAACCAGATGTTGCACATGTGTCTTAACTTTCATCTTGTCGGTATTGTATACCTTTATACGTGTCTTTATACCCTCTAGCCTGCGAGTGCTATCAAGAACTTTAGATAATGTTTAAGGTTCATCTTGTACCATTATCAGATCTTGACGCCATTATGATCTCTGACGAAGTGAAAGACCATCTAACATTTTCTCACTAAATTGTTGTTGATTTGTGACTTCCTGGGGATAAGAATTTTATGATCGACTAGGATAAATGTTAGAATGTGAGGGAGGGAAGGGATAAATTTGGTATTGGTGAGGAAGAGTGGAAGGAATGGACTAAAGAAGAGAGAAAAATAGAGACGAAAAGTGGAAGAAAAAAAAGAAAGATGAATAAGAAAAAGTCAAAGAAATGAAGGAAGAAATGCAGTAGAGAGGTGAACAGATAAAGAAGATGTAAGGGAAAATTATTAAGAACTGAAAGAGAGACAGGAAATGAAAGCAGAAAGGAATGATCAGATGAAGTGAATTGACAAAATTGTTAGACAAAGAAGAGACTTAGAATAACGGAGCAATGTTGAGAGGAAGAGGGAACGTGACTGAGTTTATAAGAAGACAAAAGGAGGAAGGAGAAAGATTAACGTGAGAGATAGAGAGATAAATCAGAATGAAGAAAAAAAGGAGATGGGTGAGGAATGATGGACTGGTGGTGTATAGAGATGGGCGGCATAAACCACGATATGGGCTGATGAGGGTAACCCAATAAAGTCAATTAATGTGATTTATCTACAATGGATTTCAATAGCATTACAGAGCTGTTTATATCTCTTGGCGTTATATTTTGCAGGAAGTACGACGATCTGTAAAGAATGTTCGATCAGGAGATGAGGCTCCTGTGAGCAAGCGGCTTGACTTCAATTTAAGGCTAAAAAGAAAACGTGAGTAGTTTAGTTTAGAAATCCATAATATTTATTGTAACGTTTTCTTTGGTAGCAAATGAAGTATCTATAGAAAATGAAAAATATTCAGGGTAGACCATGTAAAAAGCAACTTGATTCATGAACACACTCGACTTTGTTGTAGATAAGGTCTTTGTGAATTCATACGCTCTAGGGACTCATTTGGTGACCATTTTTTTTACATTTCCAGGACCAGTATAGCCCTTGTGGCTTAGCGCTTCTTTTTGATTATAATAATAATAATTCAGGACCAGTACTTAGCATAGTCACTAGAGTGACAACCTTTGAAATTCTTGACCTCGGTTCGATTTCTTCCTTGAGGCCTGGCTCTCGCTTCACACGGTGAGGGTCCGGGTTCGATTCTCAGCTAGGGCAGAAACATTGGGCGTGTTTCCTTACACCAGTTGTCTATGCTCACCCATCAGCAAAGTGGGTACCTGGGTGTTAGTTGACTGGTGTGGGTTGCATCCCTAAAATTGACCTAATTTGAGGGAAATGCTCTGCATATCAAGCGGCTTTCTATGCAGCAGTATGTCACTGATGTCAACTAGGCCTGTATACCTTGTACACGTACTTGTAGAAATAAAGATACGTATTATTATTATTATTGTGAGTAGCTGGCCCTGTGCTATACCATTTAGCAATGAGGGCTCTACTAGGATGCTTTTACAACATCACTGGGCCTGCTGTTCCCATGAACTACGGTTCGATTCACCGTTCATTCTTCTGTTTATTCACTGACAGTCGTTCATCATGACTTATGGGTTTGTAGATTATATGGCTTTAAGGGGCATGATAAGAGATGTAAAATGAAAATTGTGAGGGTAAGGGACAGGACAGAAGTTTTACAGTTGATACGACCATATATATATATATATATATATATATATATATATATAATATATATAATAATATATATATATAATATATATATATATAATATAATATATGCAAAGCAACTACTGTGAAAGAATAGTGAAATTCCAAGTGCTTTCGTGACTTCTCACAATACATCAAAGGAAGCCATATAAAGGGTCGAGACCACACCTCACCATCACGTTCCACAATAAAGAAACACCTGACGCGCGACACACCGACTCTAGTGTCGTCATCACGACATTATATATATATATATATATATATATATATATATATATATATATATATATATATATATATATATATAAAAACACTGATCTCTGGTTGAAGGAGACTCGAACCTACGAACCTTGGAACAAGGTACGCAGTGCTATACCATTCTCACCACACTGGACCAATACCTTGGCGTCCAGCTTGCGCTAGACTTTGATCCAAGGCAGCCAGCTTCTCCCTGAAAACTGGCTGCCTTGGATCAAAGTCTAGCGCAAGCTGAACGCGAAGGTATTGGTCCAGTGTGGTGAGAATGGTATAGCACTGCGTACCTTGTTCCAAGGTTCCTAGGTTCGAGTCTCCTTCAGCCAGAGATCAGTGTTTGTGTATATTTCGCCTGCTCTTGTGAATTCCTTTACACACACACACACATATATATATATATATATATCTTGATGCTAATTGGATATCTGCTATAGATTTCAAGAAAATTCTTCGAGTGATATTTTTTTGCCAACATCTGGTGTAGCCTTTAACTTTTCTATAATCTCGTATATATTAACAGTGCCTGTAACCTAAAAACTTCGAACTCATTCATGGATTACAGGAGCCACGGTGACGTGGGTACAGGAGAGAGAGACGAAGGTACAATACAGAGAAACACAAGCAAGAAAACTGAAACTTAAGGGAGACACACCTCTCTACCTTACCACCTCCTTTCACCCTGACACCACCATTACTAAACTCAGTGTGGGCGTCCAGGAGGAGAACTCCGAGAGTGCAGGTTAGTGGGGGATTATGTGTGAAGAATTGGAACATTTCTCATTGTTCTTGAAGAAATGAAACCCTTTAAATCCCTATTACGGAAATGGAATACTTAACAGCGGCTTTATTTTCGCAGAACACTTTGCATCTGCTACACACGACTAGATGTAGTCTCTAACGACTCATAAAAAATGAATCTTTACATTAGCAGAAAGTACCTAGTATTAGTTTTAAAATTCTGGGAATGCCTTCTTTTCAAAGTAAAAAAAAGTTCTGAGTTAGAGCTATTATTTAATGTGAATGGAGAAACTAATCACCGTAGCTAAGTAAAGTATAGTGAAAGAAAAGATAAACAGTTTATTTTATTATTATAGAAACGTTTCCCTCAAGATTGTTTAATCGGGTTTAAAGATTATCGACTACACGAGGGTCATTAAACCGCATATAATTTGTCCATTACCAGTCAAGGATACTTTAATACTTATAAGGATTATAGTTTATGTAACCTTTTCGTTTGTAAGTTAGTTGGTTGCTTTATTGGGTTTAAAGCCTATTGACTGGAGGAAGATAATTTAAGCTGCATGTAATCTGATTACGAAAAGTCAAGAAAACTTTAACTCTTAAAATAGGTATGAAACTCTTAAGGTATTATACTGTGAAGAGCTCAATAATACTGGTTCTTTCGTTTATCAAATAGCAATTATTGTGTCATTTATTTTAACACCATTGTGAAATTATCAAAAAATGTATCAGTATTCATTTTTAGACGTTTTCTAATTATTTTAAAAGTTATTAATATTGCTTAAAAATATTACTTAAGTTTCATAAAAATGCCTTGTGTTTGCAGTAAGCTTCCATATGCACTCGTTCGACATGGTGCCATCTCTCGGGGAAGGAGTTGAGGTAGTGGTGCTGGAGGCTGCTGCTAGCGAAGTCTACCTCCACGCTGTCTCGAACACCCAGCTAGCTCTTATGGTAAGTAGAATCCTAACTACGAGTATATAGAGCAAGCCAGCAATTGCTGTCTTGCTCTAACTATGTACTGTGTTAGGTACTATCAATGCAATTGATAGTACCTAACACAGATATGCCAACTGCTGCTTAATCACTGAACGCTTCGTCGCCTGTCAATATGCTGTGTTAGGAAACGAGAAATGAATCATCTCTTAACAGCCCGTGTCAAGAGACGAAAAATGACATTTGTCAAAAGCTCGTGTCAGGAGACGAGAAATGACATCACTTGTCAAAAACCTGTGTCAGGAATCGAAAAAAAATGACATCACTTGTTAAAAGCCCGTGTCAAGAGCCGATAAATGATATCACCTGTCAAAAGGGCTTTTCGTCAGGAGACGAAAATAACATAAGTATCGTATCTGTTTTGCAAATACACGTTAATTACTGTGATTCTCTTAAATTATGAAAATTCAGTTGCCTATTGGTCAACAATGTGTTGAATTAGAAGAAAATTTCTTCTCCAATGCCGTGCTCCGCTATTTGCTTTATCAACATTAAACTAACTTGTAAGAGATCAGGCCGTGATTAGCGGACACAGGACTGAGCCTCAACCTCTCCTTGCACTGAATGACCCCAAAGAGGATTAGCACCACATAAAAGTCTCATGCTATCTCTCTCTCTCCTCCCCAGCAGGGCGTGACGTCAGACGTGAAGCGGCTCACCCAAGCTGATGTGAGATTCTTCTTCCTCGAGAGTGTCGCTGGCAGCAGCCTTTTCACTCTCAAGAGTTTTCACACAGGTGAGGCTCTCTGCGTCTCCTCTACACTGTGTCTAGAGCAGCGCTAGACACATGCTGTCCACTGCTACACCAACTGAAGATCCAAAAGATTTCTGCGTATACTTTGCAGACAAATCAGATTTGATCCAACGACGAATATAAATACCAGAAATTAGCATCAGGAGCCCTTCAAAGGCATTCCATCACCATTCTTGAAGGGAGGGGGGGAAACGATATAGAGATAGAAATGCATCATTATTTTTTTATCATTTCTGGCTGATGTTAATTAACCTTTCGCATTGTTGCATTGCTCCTGCAGGTGGCTTCGTGTCTGCAACACCAGATGGAGTCTCGCTGGTGGAGAAGAGAGACGGTATCAATTTACCCGAGAACACGCTGTTTGAGGTTCTGCCGGTCTAGCCTTAGAAACATTCTTGTTGATGAGGTCACCTCTGTGCCCTGGTTCAGAAGTCTAAACGCTGGAGGCTCATCATCTTTATTATGCGGGAAGAGTGGCTGAGAGGGTAGAGTTTCTGTTGTACTAGTAGCGAATGGAGTATCAAGTCTATTTCATTCCTTGCACTAAATGACCCACATGAGTTTAGCCCTTTATGTAAATCTAATAATAATAATAAGTATTATTATTATTATTATATTTAAGGGAAGCTCTGAACCCACAGGGGGCCACGCAGCGCCGGTAAAATGAGAGATACTCAGGTTCAATCCAAGGAACTGGAGGATAGGGCCACTTCCTTGGATTAAGAGCCCCTCACCTGTATCACGGACCCTTCCTTGAGGAATCGAATATGTGGTAATGAGTATATAAGCACATAATGTTTAGTAGTAATCGCGCTATCTATTGTCTTTTTGGGGAAGATAAAAGCTATTTTGAAGGTTGATATATATATATATAATATATATATATATATATATATATATATATATATATAATATATATATATATATATATATATGGAAAAGATATTCACTACTTTCTTATAATTAAAAAATCCGTGTTGTGTCAAACTATTATTGTTACATTTTATAGGGAAAGCGCAAACCCGTATGGGAGGTAATCAGGTTCGATTCAAGGAAGGGGAGGTTAGTTCCAGTTGTTTGGATCATGATCACTTCAAGAACATCGAGGAATATTTTGTGTAACTATAGAAACAGAGACAGGGGAAAAAATCACTATTAAAACTATTCGCTTTAAAGGTTAAAATAAACGAAATAAATATCTAGATTTTTTAAGAAATCCTACTCAGTTTTTTACCTGTCTTGTGCAAAGGGGAGGACTAATTTTTTTATTAAACCACACTGCCAAATGAATATTTGCTTGTAATCATTAACTGACAAACAATCCAGCCTGAAAGGATCACAATGAATGCTCAAACCCGATGCAGTAACCAAGTTTGCGTTAGAAATGTATATCCCAGCAATGAGTTTAACTGGGAATTCCTAATTAAGCTCACTGTCACATTCTTGTACCATTCTAGGTCTTTCATATTGCAATCACATCATCAGGAGCTTGCAGAGTTCCAGAAATGAGTGAGAAATCTCAGCAGATTCGTTCCGAGAGACGCTTGCTAAGACTGAGGGTGGGAGGAGAGGCGGGAAGCATACAGTGCCCCGGCACACTAGTGCATAGTGCCAGACAAACTGAACATTATAGGAATAGAGGATAACCAGCTCACAAGCAAAGATGTTAGAGTGGTTAACTGTACGTATCGTAACTGATTTTTTTATAGAATATATTCAACAGGATCACACTGAAGATACAATATGCTATTTACAAAATAAAAGAGGATTGGAACGGAATTTATTCGCTCAAGAGAGAATTTAAAAGCCTCGTCTTTAGCATTTATCTCAATAACATGAAGAATAATTCAGTTATATCGTTCAATGTGAAATACTTCTGTTTTTGGCTTTACAGAATATACACCGAGAAAAGTTGATCTAAATCCCCATTTTAGGGATTAATATGTGCTTGTCTGGCGGTGAAAAGGTTACATTAACCTTGAACTTAGTGAACAGCGTAGTCGATAGTCTTTGAACCCCATTAACCAACATTGACTTCAATTTCGCCCTGTACCATGTTTGTATTTTGCTAATTTTTATCAGACTAAAATTAAATTTATTTCATAAGATAACGTTAGCAGAACTAGATCTTGAAATAAGCTGAGTTTTTATACATGTTTGCTTGGTAAAGGCTTGAAGAATTTAAAAAAGTCATTTGTGCATATAAAAAAAGGGATGAAATGATGATGTCAGTTTCCAGATGCCTTACTGAACCATTTCCAGTATGTCTCACTAGTCACTGGATGAACCTTCTATGTGGCACAAGTCACTAGATTAACCTTCTACGTAGCACAGGTCACTAGATGAACCTCTTAATTACTTCTGTGTGGCACAAGTCACTGGATGAACCTCTTAATTACTTCTGTGTGGCACAAGTCACTGGATGAACCTCTTAATTACTTCTGTGTGGCACAAGTCACTGGACGAGCCTTCTATGTGCCACCAGTCACTGGACGAGCCTTCTATGTGCCACCAGTCACTGGATGAGCCTTATAACTACGTGGCACCAGTCACTGGATGAACCTTTGTACGGTATGGCACCAGTCACTGGATGAACCATTGTACGGTATGGCACCAGTTACTGGATGGACCTCTTTAACTACGTGGCACGAGCTACTGGTTGTACCTCCCCACTGTGTGCCATCAGCTACAGGATTAATTAAAAATCAGTTTGTAAATACAAAAGACATTGTTACTGCCTGTGACAAAGAAAAAGAAAAGGCAAATAAAAGACATAAAAAAGAAACAGAACAAGAAAGACAGAGACAAAGAGGTGGACACAGTGGGAGGAGAAAGCCAGTTAGTGTGTAGCCGCCTGGCAGACCGCTACGCTCTGGGGCCTGGAAATGATATGTAAATACGTTGTTTGTATACAGAATTGTCCTAGTGACCTTCTCAATTGCTCTCATTGAAGGCTGCAAAAATTCAGACCTCGTTGCTTATTTTATTGTAATTTTATAGATATTTTACTTAAACAAGTATTTTACAAGCTGTAGACAGTACTTGAGAACAGTAAATAGTAGGATCTCTGCACTAGGCCTTCTGACCCATGTTAGATGTAACTAACACTCAACTATTCCAATTCATATAATTTTATATAAACTATTTTCTAAGGGTACCGTAGATATTAACTTCGAAAGAGAATACTTCGTGACCAGTCTTTTACCACACACAAAAAAAACCCTCAAGGTTTGAAGATGTGATGGTAATTACCCGAAAACACTTAAAGATGAATTTCTTAATTCTAAAATAATAAAAGTGAATTTCTCAACTCTAAAATAATAAAAGTTCTAGGAGCTGCTTAAAAGTATAGAATAATTCCAGTTCCTGAGGCTATATTCACAAGTTTCCAAGATGGATCCATAAAACCAGCAACACACGTTGTCACCGTCAACACAATCTCGAGCCCCATGAAGCTAGTTAAGATTAAATGCATGATTTACAAGGCAGTAAGACTAATTGTCTCATTACTAACATAGCACTCTCTCTTTAATTAATATAATATATATATATATATATATAATATATATATATATATATATATATATTATATATATATATATATATGCAAAACAACCACTCTGAAAGAATAGAGAAATTCCAAGCGCTTTCGTGACTACTCACATTATCAAGGATAGTTCCTTGATAATGTGAGTAGTCACGAAAGCGCTTGGAATTTCTCTATTCTTTCAGAGTGGTTGTTTTGCATATTCTGAAATCACCTATTTACTGTGATCTTATTGCATATTTATATATATATATATATATGTGTGTTGTGTGTGTGTGTGTGTGTGTGTGTGTGTGTGTGTGTGTGTTGTGTGTGTGTGTGTACTCACCTATTTGTACTCACCTATTTGTGGCTGCAGGGGTCGAGTCTTAGCTCCTGGCCCCGCCTCTTCACCGGTTGCTACTGGGCCCTCTCTCTCCCCGCTCCATGAGCTTTATCAAACCTCGTCTTAAAACTGTGTATGGTTCCTGCCTCCACTACGTCATTTTCTAGGCTATTCCACTGTGTGTGTGTGTGTGTGTGTGTGTGTGTGTGTGTGTGTGTGTGTGTGTGTGTGTGTGTGTGTACAATAGTGTGCAAATTAATTGGGACAGGGGTAGATTTTGTGATTACTATTTCATAAAGTATGTACAAATTAGTTTTCGGGACAAAAATCCGGATTCTTTTAATCTTAATCGGACTGATTCTAAATCTGCACACGGAAATCACTCCCTACGAAAGCAAAAGAATAAGCAGACGGAGCAACATAACCCAACTGAAAAGCAGGGAGCCTTGAGTGCACTAAGAGAAGACGCAATAAGTGTCCAGGGACCAAGACTGTTCAACAGCCTAACACATAAGGGGAATTACCAGTAGATCCCTGGCCTCCTTCAAGAAGGAAATGGATAGATACCTAAGGTCAGTGCTTGACCAGCAGGGCTGTGCCGCGTGTGTTGGATTGCATGTGGCCAGCAGTAACAACCTGCTTGATCAAGCCTTGATCCACTGGGGTCCCTAGGACTAGGCTTCGGGGACAATGACCCTCAGAACGACCTCCAGGTAGACTCCAGGCAGGTAGGTAGACCCTTTCTTTCCAAACCTTCCTGTGCCTCTAGTCCTTCCATCCCAGGTTTAAACGCTCTCTGGTGTGTGTGTGTGTGTGTGTGTGTGTGTGTGTGTGTGTGTGTTGTGTGTGTGTGTGTGTGTGTGTGTGTGTGTGTGTGTGTATGTTAGTTACCATTTGGTCTTAGGCACATGTCGATTAGACACTAGGCCTGTTGTATATGCATATGTGTGTGTGTGTGTGTGTGTGTGTGTGTGTGTGTGTGTGTGTGTGTGTACTCACCTAGTTGTACTCACCTAGTTGAGGTTGCGGGGGTCGAGTCCGAGCTCCTGGCCCCGCCTCTTCACTGATCGCTACTAGGTCACTCTCCCTGAGCCGTGAGCTTTATCATACCTCTGCTTAAAGCTATGTATGGATCCTGCCTCCACTACATCGCTTCCCAAACTATTCCACTTACTGACTACTCTGTGGCTGAAGAAATACTTCCTAACATCCCTGTGATTCATCTGTGTCTTCAACTTCCAACTGTGTCCCCTTGTTACTGTGTCCAATCTCTGGAACATCCTGTCTTTGTCCACCTTGTCAATTCCTCTCAGTATTTTGTATGTCGTTATCATGTCCCCCCTATCTCTCCTGTCCTCCAGTGTCGTCAGGTTGATTTCCCTTAACCTCTCCTCGTAGGACGTACCTCTTAGCTCTGGGACTAGTCTTGTTGCAAACCTTTGCACTTTCTCTAGTTTCTTTACGTGCTTGGCTAGGTATGGGTTCCAAACTGGTGCCGCATACTCCAATATGGGCCTAACGTACACGGTGTACAGGGTCCTGAATGATTCCTTATTAAGATGTCGGAATGCTGTTCTGAGGTTTGCTAGGCGCCCATATGCTGCAGCAGTTATTTGGTTGATGTGCGCTTCAAGAGATGTGCCTGGTGTTATACTCACCCCAAGATCTTTTTCCTTGAGTGAGGTTTGTAGTCTCTGGCCCCCTAGACTGTACTCCGTCTGCGGTCTTCTTTGCCCTTCCCCAATCTTCATGACTTTGCACTTGGTGGGATTGAACTCCAGGAGCCAATTGCTGGACCAGGTCTGCAGCCTGTCCAGATCCCTTTGTAGTTCTGCCTGGTCTTCGATCGAGTGAATTCTTCTCATCAACTTCACGTCATCTGCAAACAGGGACACCTCAGAGTCTATTCCTTCCGTCATGTCGTTCACAAATACCAGAAACAGCACTGGTCCTAGGACTGACCCCTGTGGGACCCCGCTGGT